TTGAATATAAAGAAGATATTTAATTCTAAATATTATCAAGTATTTATATCGAATTAAATTTGGATAGAAAAAGTAAACAAAAGCAAAGCAGGACAAAAAGAAATAAGTGATTAGCACTTTCAAATTTTAACACAATCACAAGAAAAGTAATTCAACTGTTGGTTTTAAAAGTGTCGAGTGAAAATTTCAGATTGAAATTTGTTAGCACAATTATACGATTCGAGTTAGGACCCATTAATTAGATGATCTTATTATACAACTCAATAAACAGATTATTACCAAAAGAGAAATGTCACAAATATTAAATAGGTTCAAATGGTGAATTCATATAAATATATACATGGGTTTTAAACAAAATTATTTGTTTAAAACCCCTATATATATCTATTGAATAGCATGTGTATAACTACGATTAGCATGTTTAAATGAAATCCAATAGAGATAAATTAAATGTTATTTATACTGTTCAGATAAAATCAAATAGACATATACGTGGGTTCATAGGAAAAAAGCTATTCGTATACATGATCAATGAGGGATGAAAAAATTCATTTTAAAAAATATGAGGGATGCAAAAATTAATTTTTTGAAATGTGAGAAACGAAGCAACTCATTTTGTAAAATGTTAGGGACGAAAAAAATTATTTTGTGAAATGTGAGGGACTATGAATCAATTATGTAAAAATTTGATTTGATAATTTTGCCTTTAAAAAATGATCACATGCAAGTCACGTGGTGGATTTCGGGAAAAAGTAGTCGGAAAGCTAGGTAGGGACCAAATTTGGTCACTGTGAATTTGTAAGCGACGTAAAATTACACTTTTAGAAGTGAGGGATGAAAAAAATCATCTTGTAAAATGCGATGGACATTTTGAACGATTTTTCCTTTAAATAAAGAAGATTGCATCCGTTTGAATTAGATGTTTTTGAGGGTATTTTTCAAATGCAGCACTGTAGCATTTCGAACGTGAAATGCAAGTACTGTACATATATGGTATTCCTTTCCCTTTTAGACCAATCATCTTGGCATTTGTGGTTTCTGATAAAAAAATTTTATTTGTTTTTTGTGGAAATGGAAAAAAAAAACTTAATTATGTATGAATTAAAAAAATTACTAATTTAATGATTGGCACCTTGCTCATACGTTTGAGGTAAGGGTGGGCACGGGTCGGGTACTCACCCCTAACAAGATTTGGCTGATCCGACCCTAAAAAATTGGATCAGCCATTTTGCGACCCTAACCCGCTCCTAATATTTTTGGGTACCTGCTATTCGAGTACCCGAAAAAAAGGGACGGGTCATAGGATACCCGCCCCTAAAAAAAAATTTATTTTCTAATAAAATATATTTTTCACTTAATATCAACATGTTTTCCAATAAAAAAAAGTATGCTTTCCAATTAACATTGGTAGAGATTTTATAATCAAAATCCATACATCACCATTCTCATACATTTCATCTAATAATCAAACCAATTTCATAAATTTAGTACATATTAGAATTATAATATCTAATAGATAAACGAAGTTTTATGATAATTTTGAATACATCACCATTCTCATGCATTTTATCCTTCTACAACATAACAAATACAAGGATAATAAGTATATGACAACTTTTCCAACTTCCTTAAGGATGTTATGGCACAAGATTGCATCCAAAATGAGTCGATTGTGGAATCAAGTCCGGAAAAGAATTAAACAGAACTAATAGTTTTTGAAGAAAGTATAACCAAAATAATCTTGAAAAAATTTTTCCAACTTTCTTACATCATTGGAATAGACCTTGTTGCATTAAAGGTGATCAAAAAGAAAAATAAATTTCTTGCACTAAAATAAAAGGAGACAAATTTAAGAGACACAATTGCAATAAAATAAATAAATAAATGAAAGACACAAATGTTTTAATTATCTAGCTAACAGAAAATTGGAACTCCAAACACAAATTTTTGATTGAATTGATGAATAATTTGTAGGAAATATCGATGCAAGTATAATAAAAATGAAAAAGAATGAAAGGGATGAACAATTTTTATGATAGAATTTCATAAATTTTTCTTTGTTTTATTCATTTGGTTCAGGTTTCACCCAGAATATTTGTTTTTTTTAGACAAAATGAGGAGAGGCGGATCATATAAGATTAAAATATGAGGTTGTAAACCACTTTACTTATACTTAGGATTAAAAATTATAAAATTATATAATGAACCCTTATTTTTTTAATATTTATATAATATACCCTGCGGGTCAGGTACCCGCGAATTTTTATTTTACTGATTCGTATCCGTATCCGTTTTTGCCGGTACTCGATCCACATTTGTTCTGCTAAGAAAAATCGGATCGGATATCCTATTTTTTGGATCGAATCAGATCGGATTAGTCGGGTTTCAAATCGGATCGGATTTTTTGCCACCCCTAGTTGGAGGACTGATAAGAAAGCCGTGAAGAGCTACTATTTCATTTTATGAATTAGGTGTCTTGCATTTGCAAAAAGAATTTCTAGCATAATTTTGTAATGGAAATGGAGTTAATTCTTGTTATATGTTACTTTCCTATATGTCAATTTCGTCGTAAAGGCTAATTTGCTGTTCAACATAATTTTATTCTCATTTTGTCCAACTAATAAATTAAGTTATGAAAATAGATAATTTATGGAGGAAAGCCATAAGTAGCTGGTGTTTTATTGAAAAATGGATTTATTTTTATTTGAGCCAATAAATAAATTTGTTTTTGAGAAATGAGTACTCTGTTGTGTCTATGGAGGAAAGCCTTAAAGAGCTAGTGTTTTATTCGCAAACAGATTTATGTTTATTTTATCCGAATTTTTTTTTTTTGTATGTAAAAAAGGGTACTCTATTCTTATAATGGAGGAAAGTCATAAAGAGGTAGTATTTTCTTGAACAAATTATTTATTTTCAGTTTAGTGGATAAATAAATTACTTGATGAGATAATGGGTTCTTTGTTCTTACTTGAACAAATTTGTTTTTCTTCCTGTCACAACCCACGAAATTAGTACGGAAGTCAGTGGGCTTGTTTGCTTCCATTCGCACACGGTTCTGCTTCATTCCCTTTCCACGCGCTCTCCAACACTTTAACGTCTCTGTTTGGACCGTTTTACCCCTAACACGTGTCGCTCTCTGCCGGCATTCCTACCATAGGCACGTTCCCACCATAAAGGTATCCAAGAATCTATCTATCTTTCCGACATGCCACCATCCCAAAAGGCCATAATGTAGGGAACAGATGATTCATGAAAGCAACTTCCAACCAAAGAAAACTGGTCATCAATTTCATCGTTTTTATGATTACAATAGTCATCATCAAATAAGCTACGACGACTCTTCAAAAAGATTCTCTTCCGTGCCGTGCTATAATATGCTCCTGTGTATATATATATATATATTACTGTATAAGTTTAACTCAAAAGACCATACTTTTCTTTTCTGTTGTTTGGCTAAATCAACTCCCCGTCCAACGGAGAAACAAAAAGTTAATTAACGAAGTCTCCTAGCCAACAAAATTTATCTGGAGAAACTTTTGCAGCAAGACGGAAATTTCATATTTAGCTCAAAGAACCCAAGAGTTCTGTCATTCAGATACAAGGTGATTAAAGTCTTTCATTTCTGACCACAGATTTGGGACGAGAGCTATTAGAACAAGAGGAAACAACTTAAGGATGACTTGAGAGGTTAATATAGCGTGAAGATAATTGTTATTGCAAGTTTAAACGAAAACCTTCAAGTGTTGCGCAAGCAAAGAATGCATTCTTTTCTTTTTTGGGTTCCATTTGGTGAATTTAGTCATCCTTCAACTAAGTAAATCATTTGATCTTTGATTTGTGTACTTTTCGAGTTAAGCTTTTCCTTTGTGCGATTTGACTTCAAATTTTCAAATGACTGCCCCTTTTTCTTGTTTGTCCTTGACAAAAAATTTGTGTAAATACTTAACTTTTTTTTTTTTAAAAAAAAGTAATGGTAAGCTTCACTTCTAAAGTTTAAAACATAAAATATCAGACATTGCATTATAATTATTCTTCATAGAATATTTTGAAGATACATGCAAGTGTTTGTTCTTTGGCAGGGTGCACTTATGGGTTTGAGCTGCAGATTTTGATCTTATAGATCTTAATCTACAAGTAAGGTTTCTAATTGATTACTTCAAGACTAATACTAGAACCACCATGCCCTAATGAAATTATGAGCTGCATGTTGAGGAGAATCATAGTCCAGGATAACATGATTCATACTTTATTAGAGAGCCTTTAATTTAGTAGGTGTGGCCGATTTTTTAGAATTGTGCGCTAATTTGAAACTGTTGCCGCAATAAAACAAATCTATATAATAGGGGGAGGGACTCGTTAGATGGTACGGAAGAAGGGGAATATAAGCGAGAGAATTCGAATTCAAACTCTTCCACCTACACTAAAACAAAAAAAAAAAGGAAAGAAAATGCCTCTTGTTTATAAATTATACCGACAAAATGCCCCTTGTTTAATCATACGTTTTACACTTATTTTGACCAAAATCCACATTACATTATGATTGATCTTACCATCCTTCGTTGGTTAATAGGTTATCAGAAACCAGAAAATGTAGTGGTGCATCCTTTGGTATTGATCCTGAATACATTTTCCATTTTTTAAACCTAAACAGAATAATTCCTAGCTACATTTTGGGAAACAAAATTTACATGAAACATGCATAAAACCAAACTTTAGGTTACCATTTAACAAAATGAAGCAAAAGCAACCTTACTTCATACGAAATACAAACACCGATCCCCGTCAATGATCAACACCGCTTTACCATTTTACATTACTACCTTCTGCCACTGGGGAAACTTTTGGTTCATCCCTCGACCAAGGTAGAAAGAGTCGATTACTAAAACCAGAAACTTTTCTCCTTCATTTTCTCCTCCTATATAACACAGGATAGGCTTATTTAGGGAAATCTATCCTGTTTGTCCTCCATATATAACGCCATGCATTTACATCTGAAGAGACAGACGGTACTAGTCACTAAATAATTTACTTACTATAATACTAGCACAATATATAAAACTCCCTGATTATCTTTCCCTCCCATCTCTTTCCCCACCCTAGAACCTTCTCCTTCAAATAACGTCCCCCGTTCCCTTCCCACTTTCTCAACCCTTTTCCATTTCTTGTTTGTCTTTAATTTCTTTAATTTTATTTGTCTGTTTTTCTTTCATGGCGTCGGCTTCACAAGCCAGTCTTTTACTCCAAAAGCAGCTCAGAGGTATGAATAATTATAAACCCTTTATGATTTTTTAATTTTCTTGAATTGAAATTTAATTGGCTTAAACGGTTTTGGTATTTCGTAAATATCAAATTTTTTTAACCAAGATCGCTGCCTTTTGCTTGCAGATCTCTGTAAAAACCCTGTGGATGGATTTTCAGCTGGTTTGGTTGATGAAGAGAACTTATTTGAATGGAGCGTTACAATTATTGGACCCCCTGATACTTTATAGTGAGTATTTCTCTTTGTTAGGTGCTTAGGGATTGGATTTCTGATCAATTGTTTTCGGTCAAAGTTTGTCTTCTGATGTCAGTCGTAGATTCGTTCCATTAACTGCTTTATTACCTCTTATGGAAGGATTTTGAGTTTTAATGGTGTGAAATTAGGGGAATTCTACTTGCTCATTTTCGTACAGAGTTTGTTTTACATTTTTTTATTGTTATTCTATCTTTGGGAAGGAAAGGGTAGAATCTTTGCCATTGCAAATAAAATTTCTCTTTATTGTTTTTCTCTTTTGTGGGCCTTTTTTTTTAGGGGGGGGGGGGGGCGGTGGTTAGCTAGGCATGTTCAATCAGTGCGGATAGTTCTCTGATGCATTTGTTGCCAATTGTTGGTTTTTGGATTTTTTCCTTCTCACCAGGGCTTAGGTGCCAAAAGGGGTTGCCCATCAGGTCACACATACAACGCGTGTATTTAAGAAATTCAATTGTCCAGAATCGTTTCTTTTATTGTTTTCTTCTCCCTAAGGGTGAGGAGCAGGGTTTGGGAAGGAATTATTGATTGTGGGGTGGTATTCGTTTGCAAGTGCTTGCAGCATCCAATAAAAATGGATTTGCTATAGTAAAGTGGAAGGTCAGGCATTGTTGTCTTCCTCCAGTATGTGTCATGAATTGGACGTACAATAAGGTTTCCTGGTAAAGCTGCATCATATGATATATCTAGAGCTCATAGTGGTGATTGCCTCGTGCATTTAGAGCTAGACCTCTTCCAAAACCTAATACAGATATATCCATTGTGCAGTGTACCAATCATGCGGCATTGTTTTAGTTTTTAACAATGTTCATTTTTGGGGTTAATATATTTACTTGATTCTATTAATAGTAGCAGTTCTAAAGCTAAGAGAGCCACCACCCCACTGATCTGTTAATCCGTGAGGAGTACAATTTATTTACTTGTCTCTTATAGTATACTGTTTATTTGAGACTTTTGTACAAGGATTGAATGATTCCAGAATAAATTTTAATTAATTGGTTTGAGAAAAGGATCTGTTTTTGGCCTTCTGACAGTGAAATTTTTATGTGTAGTGAGGGAGGTTTTTTTAATGCTATCATGAGCTTTCCCCAGAACTATCCAAATAGTCCTCCTACAGTGAAGTTTACTTCAGAGATCTGGCACCCTAATGGTTTGTGTTCTTCATGCGCCTTGGACTCTTATTATTGGGTTTAAATGTTTCTTATTTTATGTTATAATGCAGATTTTTAATTTTATGATGAGCCTAAATTGCTGAAATTTTGAATGACCTCCAGTTTATACTGACGGCAAGGTTTGCATTTCAATTCTTCATCCTCCTGGTGATGACCCAAATGGATACGAGCTTGCTAGTGAACGCTGGTCACCTGTCCATACGGTATGGCTGCAGCCAGTCCTCGGGTCAATGTTCTTTCTATGATTTTATTAACTTTCAATGGATTTCCATGCTTACCTCCTTTTGCATTTTCTCATTGCATTATTTCTTTATCCTATTTCTTACCATGAAGTTATCTATAGAATAGAGGTACACGGATGGTAGATGCAGGAATTGAGTGTTGCGAGGTGCATTATCCATAGTGATGTGCATCACAGGGAGATATTCCTATTTACTGTAGATGGCTGAAAAATTTTGTTAAAATTACAACTGAAAATTATCATTTTTCTTAGGGTACAGTATGACAAACTTTGCAATCTTTTGGTTCAGCTTCCTTGTCTATCTCTTCCAGTCTTCAAGTTCTGGGACTCTATCTGCCTTCCTAAATCATCTACATACTGGTTCCTATTGTAGCTAACAAATTGGACAATGCATAACTCTTTTTTAGTCAACAAAATCCTTTGTTCACTTCTACTTTTCATTTTACTCATTGTTAAGGTTGCTAGTCTCTTTCACTTTTGATTTTTCTTACCTTTTTCTTTTTCATAAGTTAGGGGGACGTGGGGACAGGCAGACATGAACATTTCAAATTAAATATATCAACTTGAATTGCTTATTGATTTATTCTTACCAAAAGTTATTACTGAGTACCTTCACAGGCCCATCAGAAAAATGTACAGTTACAGCAAAAGTTCTGTGGTGCGAAGCTCTCTTTGATGTTAGGTTGTAAAAGTATGTGAATATTAGGGTGGTCATGCTAAATGATTGAATGTGATGCTGTTGTGCTCCTAATTTTGGTATGGTTGAGGATAGTTTGTGTAAAAATTGAGGTACTTTCACTGTGAAAATCATGTGATGGTATACTTTGGTGGCTGAAATTACTTGTCCTGATCCCAGTGACTGCGATGACAGGCTGGTGCTTCTCCGGCCATTCTGTTTAGGGAAAGAGTATTTGGTGGAGTTTTTCATGTGGTGGCTTAGTGTAAGATTTAAAAAGAAACCTGATTTTGGTGCTGGTATCAGACCCCAACTAAACCTCCTTTAGAAATCTATGCTTCGGAACTTTTACAGTTTTGTCCACAGGGACAAGAACAACTAAATACAAGGAGATATTGTACAGGGTTCTTGCTCTTTTTCTTTTTGTTTTGTGCATGCAGTTGAGAGTTACTGACTAGAGTGGTATTATTTGATAAGGTACATAGTTGAGAGAGATTCTTATCTATCTGTTTTCTCTAGATGGGAAAAAATGAGAAGGAAAATGATGAAAATTTGGTGCAAATTCTTAAGAAGCTTAAAATTGTAAACTTATTCTGTTTGTGGACTTTATCACTTGGCCACTTATATCAACGATCAAAATCTACGAGGGTGGGAATTAAGGTTCCCTTGGATGCCGGAAGCCTTCCCAGTTTATCACCTATGTTTGATCAGGGTGAAGAACCTATCCTTGTACATTTCTGCTTCGATCTGGAATTTCTTGTTTTCTTACGATTTTGTCAATTGTCAGCCAACGAAGTTTCATATATCATTGACATAGATCAAAATAAGTTACATGTTTAACTTAATTTTTCGAATAGAATATTGGCTTTGGAAGTTGATCAAAAGGACTCTTTCAGGTGGAGAGTATAGTGTTGAGCATCATATCAATGCTTTCAAGTCCTAATGACGAATCTCCAGCCAATGTTGAAGCTGCTGTAAGTATTTTGATGAAGTTAATTTTGGGGATATTATTATGTTCTTCCCTTCTCTTTTTTAGATATAAATCTTGGTCATTAGCTGGGAAAATTGCTTTTACGATGACGGAATTTTGTGAATATTTCTGAATGATGTCCATGGGCACTATTCCATCTAATTAATTGATCTCTGCAGAGGCATTACAAATATTCTCCCATAGAACAGTGGAAGCTTCTAATACCTCAACCCCCAAATTTTGCTTTGAGATTTAGGTGATTCAAAAAGACTAGTTTGCCTTGTGTTTGGATAATCTTGATTTTGCGTGCAGTTGTCTCCAACTATGAGGAGTCGAGAACAAAGTCTTTCATTTTTTCAAATCTTAGATTTGTATCAATAACAAAATGAATGGTATTGCTTGCTTGGCCTTGATTGACTTCCCTTTTTGATTTTGGTGATTTGACCTGCTTAGTTGTGCATTTGAAGGTGTTGAAGATCAACAGTATGATTTCTAGGTCATTCTTTTTTCAACCATTTTTCCTTTTGGAGATGATCTTTTGTAAGACATGGAGATTGAAGTGTTTGTGCTTGTTAATGTCATTCCTTGGTAATTGCTTCCCAATGATGAATAGGATGTCACTGTGTATACTGTTTCCTGACAAGGAAAGTAGCTCTTGTCACAGTTGAAATTTGTTGTTTGCAGAATCTTCTGACATCTTTGCCAGTATGAAATAAATTTTCTGTGTTTGGGCTGCTTTTGATGGAACTAATATCTTATCCCTTTTCTCCTGTTGCCAAATGCAGAAAGAATGGAGAGATAATAGGGAGGGCTTCAAGAAAAAAGTTAGCCGATGTGTTAGAAGATCTCAAGAAGAAATGATGTGAACTCCTGTAAATGTTGCAGACTGGTCCAGCTCTTTTTCTGATGAAAAAGGATGTTTCTCTGAGAAAGTGGCTTCAAATCAGGCTTGTATGTGTAGAATTGCTAAAATGGCGTCCAAGATTTATCTTTTCTGTATTTTAGATGATTACTTTTTCCTTTTCATGTTAACCTAAACTTCATTCCATTGATTTGGTAGTGAAACTTCTAAAAACAAGGTCTAACTTGGATTATCAATTTCTAGATCCCAGGTCTCCATGTACCTTGCAGAATTTTTTTTTTTTTTTTCAATTGATTGAACCAATCAAACAGTTAAATCATCCATTGCTTGTACGTTTTTGCCTTACTTTAGAGCCTTGCTTCAGGATACTCTATGATCACCACAAGACCAGACTCAGCTGCGAAGAGCAGTGGATATTTGATTCATCATCTAATTGAACTTCTCTTTGCAGGATTCAGTAGTTGAGGAGGACTTAATTTATGTATAATCTATACTCCTCCATTTGGCCGGAGTGGACTAACATGGAAAATGGAAAGCCTGTGCTATTCACACAGATCATATTGAGGTTTTGTACTAACTTTAGCAGGAATGACATTCTTGTAGTTGGTTGGCTTTGAAAAGAATTTCTAGTGATTGATAGAAAAAGCAACCTGAAATAAATTAGTACGCGAGATTTTTTTAGAAAAAGCAACCAGAAAAGCGGAGCAGGCCCAACTCTTTTAGGAGTGCCTTAGCAGGGGATAATAGACGCCTAAAGAAAGCACTTTACTGAAACTTCTTTCTTTTGTTTGATCCAACTAGAATGCTTCTCTTTGTCAAAATACAAGCAAGCACAGATAACAATTGGCAAACAAATCGACATGCCCTAATGGGCATGCTTCAATATGACTTCCCAAAGTAACAAAGAACGTGTGGAGTTGATTTAAAAGGTGCGCATTGTTTCTGAATTATTGATTTGCTGCCTAAATTGATTCTGCTTTTTCCGACTTGTCATTAATCATGCATCATTGGATCATAGCATGATCATTTACGAGAACAACTAAAGATGGGAACTAACTTAAAACTCTTCTCATTCGAGCTGATTATCAAGTGAAATATAAGATGCAAATCGGGGGTTCAAGCCCCTACACTTGCATTAAAGTTCAAAGAATGTATAATAGTAGTGTATTTTTTTGGTCTGAAATCCTTTCTCTCTAATCCCATTTGACCCAATGAGGCCCCTCCGTAATATAGGTCGGATAGAAGTAATTCTTGAACCCTCTCCTAATATAGAAGTAACTCTGGAGTAACGATCAATCAACTCAACAGTCAACAGAGTTTAATGTTTCAATTTCTTGTACAAGTCCTTCTAGAAGGGTCACCAACCTAAGAAAAGGTCGGCCATGGCATTAAGCAATCCAGAATCCAACGGCGTCAACGCTCAACGGGAAGGAGACCAGTTTCGTTTGCTTGTGCTGTAGTGTTAAATTTCAAGCGCTTCTTGGAACCACTTGTGCTACTTTTTGATTACACATTGGCTGTGTTAATATGACAGCACTAAACGAAATTGGGCCTCTTTCTCACTTTGTTGAATTGTGAAATCAATCATACCACGTTGAATTAATCCTTGGCAAAATATTCAGGGGTTGTTTGGTAATTTTGGTGTAATTTTTTTTTAAATTTATGCTTTTTTCTCTAAACGGCACAAAAATGGCTGTTCTGGCTGCTCAAAAAAGGTAGAGAGTAAATTGCTAGATTTGTAACATGATAATACAAATCAATCAATCTTATCTATAAATAATACCACCTTGGGATATCGAATTGGGTAACCGATTTCTCTAATTTCCAATAACTCACTGGCTTCTTTCTTCGTTACTTTCTTTTTCTTTCTATACTAATTTATTGACTCAAGTGTCAAGATCTAGTATTATTGGCCCAATTATGGATGATATTTGAATTGCTACGAATGTTACTAATATCAACTGGGTTCTCAGAAAATCAAATAAGGTATCTCATGAATTAGCATGATTTTTTTCACACAATCAAATTGACATCATGTCATATAAAATAAATTCAAATTTTAAAATTCAAATCATATATATGTAGCATACAGATAATAGATTTTGGAAAACAATTGGTGGGCAAGTTCATTAATAAAATTTTTTCTCTTTTCTTATAAAAAAAAAAAAAAAAAAAGCGTCAAAGTTATCAGAGAATAGATTTTTTCAATTGTGCTGTCCTAGGAGTGGACCGGTTCTTTCAATAATTTTTACTTTGTCGTGTGACGCGACGTTTTGTGTCTCTACCCCGAACACAAGTCACGATTGTAAGTCGTGTGCAATTCACAATTCTAGGATGTAAAAATTATCACAAAGCTATATAACACGATTCTTCTACTTCGTCACTTTAAAGCCGAAGAATAATCAACGAAAACAAATTCGAAGCAGCACGGCTCCTTCCAAACATAACCGTCACAATTTTCCCATTTTCACTTCTACTAACGAATCAGGAAAACAAATGCAAAAGAAAAGGACCGGAGTTATCTTGAGAGTGAAACACGTAAGGAGGTCTACTCGAGCTTTACCTAATTGGCTTTGTCTTCTTGTCAAAAGAAAAGTCAACATAGGACATAAGATTCACTGCCTTTCCTAACTCCAGTTTGGCAGTAGTATTTATCTTCTATTAATAAAATAAGGATGAAAGCGCTGCTAATTTAAACCAAACTCTTAAACAGACTCCAGTGTTAATTCTGCTCGATTATGTTTAGACGGCAATCAGTCACTATTGGGCTTAATTACATAAAAAAATGTACAGTCCTACAACAGTATAAGTACTGTAGTAACTTTTATCTTTATTTATGGCACCATCCATGACAACAGAAGCGAACGCGTGAAGATACCCACATCTTTCTTTCTTCTTCTTTCTTTTTTTATTTTATTTTTAAACTCTGTTCTGATGTGAAAAAATGTTTGAAACTTGAAAGCGGCAGGAGTCCCAAATTAGTAATATAGAGTTGTCCAGTTGTTAAAAGAGGGCAGTATTCCCCTGCCATAACACCCAATGTGAAAAACTGGAAAGGAAAAAAAAAAAAGTGAAAACCCCCCACCACCTTTCTCCTTTCTCTCTTCCCCTCACTTGGTCTCTCTCTCTCTCTCTCTCGCTGGCTGGCTGGCTGGCTAGCTGGCTGCTGTTTACTGTATACCAGTCCCTCACTCTTTCTTGCTTTTCCTTTCTTTCCTTTTCACACTTTCCCTCTCCTTTCCTCTGCATCCTCTCACCAGTCGCCCCGCCCCCCGCCGTCTCTCTCTCTCATGGAATTCATGTTATGATGCCTCGTGAACCCGTCTCTCCAACTCAATTTCACCTCCACAGAACCCATTTTCCCTGACTAATTAAAAACCCCACTCTTCCAACTTTCTGCATTCGTACCGTACCTGATACGTACTACTACTCCTAAATACTGGTGACTGTAAGTCTTTTCACACCCATTATTCCTCTATCATGATCCTTCTTTACTCTTCTTTCCACCTGAACATTACCTTTATTCTTCGCGATATATGATCATGAGGTCGCCTCAGCGCCAGCCTCAGCCTCTGCCTGAAGACCGACTCCGAAACGGCGGAATTGAGACGCCGTCGCCGCGCCCCAGAATCCAGACTCATTTTCACTCCACCGTCTCGGAGCAGAAGCTCCGCCGCTTTAACATTTTGATCCTGATCTTCCGGTTCGCCTCCCTGTGCTTCTCCCTCGCCGCTGCCATTTTTATGTTCTCCACTTCTCGGGTCTCGAATTCGCCCAGCTGGTACGACTTCGACGCCTTTCGATTCGTCGCGATTGCCAACGCCATCGTCGCACTCTATTCGCTGTTCGAAGTCGGAGCTTCCGTTTGGGAAATCTCCGGCGGGACCACTCTCTTTCCTGAGGTTTTACAGGTCTGGTTCGACTTCGCCCACGACCAGGTGCTTTTCCACTCCCCCACAATCTAGTAGTAGTAGTGATATTATTAATTTTACCATTTCCATTAATTTATTCCGCTATGAATACGATTAGAAATAGAATTCTGCTTTTCCTCCTTATATTTAACATCTCGAGGCTGATACGCCGTCGTTTTATTTTCGGCTAAGGTATTCTCGTATATGCTGGTGTCGGCGAACTCAGCGGGGACGGAGCTGGCACGATCTTTGAAGGACCGGGACGCCACGTGTACGGACAACAATGCGTTTTGCATACAATCGGACATATCTATAGCCCTAGGATTCGCCGGATTTTTGTTCCTGGGCTTGTCTTCGTTGCTTTCGGGGTTCCGACTCGTCAGTTTCATAGTCAACGGCTCTCGTTTTCATTTCTAGAGGAGCGGGATTAATTGTTAGCGTATAATTTTTCCGCATGGTGTGGAGTGGTGAACCCAATTACAAGTTTGAGGGTGAATCCAATTTACTGCTGCTCTCATCTTTGGCGTTGGTGGACGTGGTATTGTGCATATGAGAGTCCTCCATTCTTCATGATTTTATCCCTAAAAAAAATATAGTCAAATCCTACTCAGTTAGTTAGTTGTATATTGTACCATTGATAGGATGATATGTCGAAGGATTAGAGGTGTGACCAAACCTAATATTTCGTTTTCTCTGAATATAAAACGTGGTGGATTGTTGTACCGATTCATGATTTATGTGCCATATCTCTCTTCAATTCCTCCTTTTGTAATCTTGTCTACACCATTCATATATGTGAAGCAGACTTTTTTTTGGTATGTTGAGAACTGCGTAAAGTTCACACGGGCATAAAATATTGCTGTCACCCTGCATCTCGCTTCAAACAAAAAGTTGTCTATTTCACAGGGGAAGTATAAAGAAAAGAAAGAGAAGGCAGCAGCAATTAGTCTGTAATTCCTTGAAACAAGTCTGCCGCATAGAATGTAGACAATCCTGGTAATAGGCCCTATTGCGGCACGGGTTAGTAATTTCATATTCAATAATGACTTTTCAAGACTTGTGGATTTGACCATGCAATCAAATGGCGAGCCGCCGATCCACTTACAAGAAATACTAACGGGGTGATAATTTAATAGAAAAAAATAGGGAAATTTGTCAAATTGGTCCCTAACATTTTCACAAAATACTTTTTTAGTCCCTAACATTTAAAATCAGTCAGAATAGTTCCTAACATATAAATTATGAGCCAATTTGGTCCTAATGCTCGTATTTGCTCTTTTTTCCAGCTAAAAATAGTACACCGGCGTAATTTCAAGGGCAAAATCGAAAAAATTCGTTAATCCATAATTGTGCATCCCTCAAACTCTTCCACCACTTCTTCAATTGATTCTCACCCTTTTGTTGATGCTCTCCAAAGGCTT